AATGCTTTCTTTCAGGCGATGCCTCTGCAAAAGACATTGATACAGCCATGAAGCTTGGAGCAGGTAAGGGATTGTTTTTTACATTACAAGCTTCAATTTCAACTCCACAGGCCTCCAAACCAGAAGGGAACTTAGGCACGGACTTTCAGTCTAGGAGAAAGGTCCAGTTTTCTTTGACGCAGATTAGTGGAAAGCCCCTGCTTGTTGTATCAGCGTATTAAAGTAAAAGCGACGGACAAAAGATCTCAAAGGAGAGAACCATCCACTTCTAGTTACGTCCACAGTTTCCTAGACGTCCTTCTGGAAGCTTCTTCGATAGACTGATTGGAGCGGTAACCGGTCAAGTCGCCCCAGAGTCATCTCGCCCCAAGTCATGTCGCCCGAAACCCGAGTTGTTAGTCATGTTGCCCGAAACTTTAGTCATGTCGCCCGAGATGACTCTAGGGCGACTTGGCGGTAAATCGAATGGAGCCGAAAAAGGTTATCTAGTGCAATGAAAGGTTAGAAAGTGATGCGAAGGATTTGACGACAAAGTGATGCACCAGCGTGCTGTGGACAGAAAGAGAGAAAGCCAAATTCGCCGCATGTGCGCTGAAGAGTGTAGCAGTACTTTATGCTTGTCTTATTTTTTGTACTTAATTATTACCTGTCTGTTATTAGGATACCCAATGGGCCCGCTGGAGTTGGCAGACTACGTTGGACTTGATACAACTAAGTTTATTATTGACGGTGGGTAACGCTTGAAATTAGAATCGAAGTCACGAGCTCTTCCTGAAATAGCTAGATGAGTTCGTTTGTGACTGAGCGAATGCTCTGAAATTGAAGGTTTCCTCATCGAATAAAATCCTAGCCTTCGAGTTGGCCCTCATTTATTAGTGCTTCAGTTCGGGGGTTTCCTCGCTCGGCCTCAAGTTACAAATGACTAGTGGGCGAGAGGTTTAATTTTGTTAGTGCCAGACCCCGGGTAAACCTCTCCACAACTCGTCTCAAATATTACCGCGGGCGGAGGAAAGAGGCTTCTTGCAGCGCTTATAACGAGGGCCAACTTGTAGGGAAAGGAAAAAAAACTGCAAAATGGCTGTCATTGATTTGTCGATTATAAGTTTTTTTTTTTTTTTTCTCTTCAGGTTGGCACGAGAAGTATCCAACTGAACCTCTCTTCAGCCCTAGGGAGATCTTGAATGACCTTGTAGCACGCAACAAACTAGGAAGGAAGTCTGGGGAAGGGTTTTACAAGTACGAGTAGGACCCAGGCTCCAGCTGTCTCCAAGAGAACACTGGCACTTGCATGAAAAGTTACATCCTGTAGAAATTTAAAGCTTTTATCAGGATATGGTGTCATTTAAATATCTGACTGGCCTGTTAGATGTAATAACCATGGTTACCATTTGGCCAATCATAGCTTGTGTGTCTCTTAGGTCTTGTGATTCTCAGTCCCCGCTCGTCGGTTTAAGGCAGAAAAGACCTATTGTCAGATATACGGGAAGTGAGACGGTTTTTGGCCAAATTCAGCGTCACAACTCTTGCATTTGTCATTGGTGGTAAATGATCATGATTTGTTGAATAAATTATAAAATGTGAATTGTTCTGGAGTAAACGAGACTGTTTCAGGCTCCTTCCTCCTTTAACTTTAACTTTACAGTTTTTTAACCTCAGGGGAGGACATCCATCACACAGTAATCTCGTGCGTGGAAATTAACGTCTCCTACCCGGAACCCCGCAGGATATTCGTCCCTATCCGAGAAGACTAGAATATCTAACCATTTCTTGATGTTATAGAAAGGTAGCATATTCTTCTCAATGGTTAGTGTTGGTCTGGCCGGAGTTCGAACCATCGACCTCACGCACAACAGTCCAGCACTCTATCCATTGAGCTAACCTGTTCTTCCCAAGAGAATCCGCTTTTTTTTTTTCAAGCTGTTACTATAGAAACAGTTTTTTTTTTAATGATAACGGCCCTGTTTAAATCATCAGTTCAGAAAAATCTCATTCTCTTCAAGTTCATCTCAGACTTCAATATTTATTCTTTTCAGCCTATGAAACAAACCCCCCCAATAAGTAAAGGCTGATAGTTTCAAAAGAAACTGTTTGGGGCTGCGTCGGTGGGGGTAACGAAATAATTTCAATTTATTAAAAACTGGATCATTGGATAATGCAATTCAAGACTTTTTATTGGCTTAGCCATTATGGTATATGAGCCAATTACCATAATCTACAAATATGGTAAGCGTACGCGTCNTAACTGTTTTGGATGCGCTGTGTGTATTATCAAGAAAACGCACGAAGCTCCATGACAAGCATTTGGTTCATTGAATAAAGGCTGATAGTTTCAAAAGAAACTGTTTGGGGCTGCGTCGGTGGGGGTAACGAAATAATTTGGATATATCAACAAAGTTGAAATGGTAAATTGGCCACCGTAACGATTACAAAAGCTGACGTTTAGAGCGTTAGCCCTTCGTCGGAGCGAATAGAGGAATTGTGGGTTGTATGTGCTTTTTTAGGCAGAAAATGGAGCTAGGTTATTGGTGGGAAAATATTATTGGTGGTGATAAATAAACGGGGTAAGTTACTAGAGAAACTGGCCCTGCGTCGTTGGGGGGTATTACAAGATAATTTGGTTTCATGGAACGTTAGCCCTTCGTTAGAGCGAAGGGCTAACGCTCGAAGCGTTAGCTTTAGGATCTCCTTTACGGTGGTCAATTTCCGCTATCAACTCAGTTGATAAAACCAATTTTTAACTTCTTAATTGTTTTGTTTTGTAATTATTGCATTCATATCTCAATTTTGGTCAGCTCTTTGTATACACTTATTCAATAAGTGGGTACGTGTTCTCCTTAGTTCAGCCTGCTGGCTGCTATGTCATTGTTAACACGACTTTCTCTTCGATATTGTTTTGTTTTTTCTCCAAGTAATTATCAAATCGGGAATGGGGAACTGGGAATATTTTGATTCCGGTTCTCTTCAATAGATTTCATCATCAATTGTTGATAAGTTCAGTCAGTTGTAAACATGATTTGAGTTGATACACATCCTCTTGGTTTGAGCGGTTTTGTCACTGCCATTTTCTTTCCCCTCCAAGTAATCACCAAAAGGAGGACAGCGGCACTGGGATATTTTCGCTTCGTCGAGGCTTTCTTGTTTTATTCAACTCTTGAACTTCCACAAGTGATCAAGACAGAATTTCTCCCTACAATATCAATACAATATCAAGCATTTGTTGATGCAATACCAATTTCTCCAAACTTACATCAAAAGAATTGTACGGCAGAAAGAGAGGAGAAACACCCATGAGATCTCGGTAATTGTAAAGGCTGAACGAAAGGATGTTAAGAAGAAAAGACCCATTTCACGAACTCAGCTTGTTGCACTTTGTGGGTAGAATTTCAGATGAGTTAAACCACAAAACAGCAGGATTGCAACCGCTTTGGTCCAAATAAACAAGGACAAAAGTTTTTGATACGCCCTCGTAAAATTGTCACACGCAACCGAAACTGTCCAGCGCAATTTAAGTTCAATAATTTAAATTCTTGTTGACAAAATAGTCTAGTTCCCTTGAATCGCCGCAAAAGCAAATAGACTGTTGTAAGAAGTTTTCTCGAAAAGCGCATGGCTTATTACCGGAAGTCATTCCGGCTTTGTAAGGAGCTCGAGAAAGCGAAGAAAGAAACGGTAAATTTCGGGGCTGTACCGCAAGAACCAAAAAAGAGAAAGATCGATCCTTCAAAGGAGTCTTCCGATACGTTGAGAAGGATCGCCCAGTTGGAAGCTTTATGTTCTAGCTCTTTGGAAAGAGGGAACCGGTTAGCACAAGAAATTTCTTTTTGTCAAGATAGGGCTCGTCACTTGGAGACACAATATCAATTGAGTGGTTCTAAAGTTTGAAATTTGGAAACCGAGCGTCAGAGTTTTAGTAATTAAAAGGGGGATTTGCATCGAGAGTCATTAATTAAAATGTGCACCAGGAATATGTTGATTTGGAAACTGGACCCAAGAGCAAACAGCGAGCGATTGAGCTGGAAATTTAAGGATGGATAAAGTTGAACTCCGGTATGAAATATCTCGAGAGCTATTGAGACACTGCGAAATCATTACTGCACTTGAAAGTCAGACCATTACGTTAATTTATTACTAACAAGGTGAGATAATTTCTTTATGAGTCGGGAAAGACAAAAAAGTAGCAGAATATTTTCTACAGGTGTTAATTGAGGCTATCAAAAGTATTAGAAGGACGGTGGAAACCGCATATAAACCACTTCGAACAATCATTTATATTCAATTGTATTTTCGATTCCAAACGATTCTTCAGAAGCAGGTCGCTGCAGCTCTATAAATAATGTAACACCTGCAAGACAGCGTAGGTGAAACAATGGGTTACGATCAAAACAAAGATCGCGCGCGCGTAAGCTGCTTCGCGTACTGCACGAGAGATCACGCGTGCCCTTCAGAGAATTCGCATGGATGTTAAAAAGCGTGGAACACCCGTAAAGGATAATAGAAGTCTTGTGCAAAATATTCCGGTCTTAACCTTAACTATCAACAAAAGTGCGTTTACTTTGACGAAGAAAAACTTTTGTTTGAAAGGAAAAGATTATGGGCGTGCGTTTTATACAGAGCCGCAGGAATTCGCGAAAAATATCAACAGACGGATACAATTATTGCTTCAGAACTAAACAGGGAAAAACTATATTATCTATATTATCATGGCTGAGTTCACGGGAACAAAAGTTGGTCCCTTGGTTGTATGATAAAAACAATTCTGCTAATTCAGAATATGCAAAACGCAACCCTTTCCGTTTGGAGACTTAGCGAGCCGAGCATCTACGAAACGGAAAAATTTTTTTTTTTTGCTGTCATTTGACAGAAAAGACAGGAAATATCGATCGAGTGTCACGTTCGGCTGTAATTTCACGCAGGCGTGGATAGCGCCAATGAGATTGCGAGTGAGGATTGGAACGTGAAATGCTGCACTGATTTTAAGAGGAGGTACCGCGTGTTGTCACGCACTGAGCGCACTATTTCATCTTTGACCGCGTAAGACGTAAAGGTACCGTCACTTCTGAAAATGGAGAACTATCTGGATGAGAGATCGGCAGAATACGGCGATAAATTTGAAAAATATCAACTCGATGTTGAAGGCGATCAATGGAACAAAGAAGTAGGAGGGAAGGAAGGATTGTCGGTGTCGAATGAATATCAAGACGGCGAACAGGTACATTCTACCACTGTCAGCGTTTCTAACGGCGACGCAATGGAAGCGTCCTCAAGTGAGTTTACGAATAGTCATACAAGACCCACGCTAGACAAGAGTGAAAATGGATCTGTAACTTGCCTGGATCAGGAAGAAAGTGATTTTGTTTCATCGGAGACGCAGAGAGAAGAATTGCAACAGTTATGCGATGTATTGATAGAGGAGCGAGATATGGCGACAGCTTCGCTTAGAGAGCGAAGTGACGAGGTGTTGCGCTTACGAAAACGCGCGTTGGAAAGTGAACACGAGAAATCGGATTTAAAAATCCGATTAGCCGCGGCTCAAGGCCGCTCAGAACAACTCGAAGAAGATCTGACATCCGTTAAAGAGGAGAATGAAAGATTGAAAGCTGAGATCGAGGAGTTGAGAAATAGGATTGACGTGCTACAAGCGGAGAGCGCCAACCCTAAAATTAGGTTACAAGCGCGCGAAGATCGCTTTGATGTTGCTGATGGAAAAATAACGAAGGAAGATTAGGAAAGTACAGAGCTAGCGCTTGAGGTGGCGGACGAATCGATTTGTGTTGTAAGCGAAAAAGAAGAGGACAAACCTGAACAGCAAGAACATGAACATACTGTTGTTGCAAATAAAGGAAAGACTGGATTTGAAGCTCAACACACCGAGGGAGAAGTAAGCTTATTCGCTGCACCAGAAGAAACGCCACCAGCGACTGAAAGCGAAGTGGCGCTGGACGAATCAGTTTGTCCTGCAAGCGAAGAAGAAGAGGTCAAGAAAAAGCGAGAACTTGAACAGCCTGTTATCGTAAGTGAAGGAACAACTGAGCTCAAAGCTGAAAGAACCGAGGAAGAAGTAAGTTTACTTGCTCCACTGGAAGAAATGCCACCAGTGACTGAAACCGCCGAAGTGGCACTCGGCGAATTGGTTTGTGTTGCAAGCGAAGAAGAAGAGGTCAACAAACAGAAAGAATTTGAGCACCCTGTCATCGTAACTGAAGGAACGACTATACTAGAAGCTGAGAAAACCAAAGAAGAAACAAATTCAATCGATCCACCAAAAGAAACGCCTCGAGAAACTGAAAGCGAAGTGGTTGTAAAGAGAAGAGAAACTTGGCGCACAGCTCCGAATCATTATCGTCACTCGTTTGCCGGGAGTCTTCCAAGGCCATTTCACACCTTAGAGCTGCACTCACAACATTCGCTCGATCATTCCTCGAAGCACGAGCGATCGGTGTCAGTTCATTCCGACACGAGCGGCGAGAGCGAATCGGATGTACATGCATCCTCAACTATGCCGAGCTTCATGAGAAGGAAAGTCGAAAAACCTTTCATGAAATCAACTTGATTCAGCCCCGTACAGTTTAATTATCAACCGCTCCCTGAGAGGATATCGAACAGACGTGGGAGCTGGTTAGGTGAAGCGAGAGTGCGGAGTGATAGCTTTCCTACTGCACACGAGAATTCATCTGATAGCGAAAGTAGCGAGGTGGTAACTAACGCGAGCGTTTCAGTGGCCGAGAGTGCGCGGGAATGGGTGCAACAAGAACAAGTCGCTAACTCATTGAACTCTGCGCCAAAGAAGATCGAGGGAGTGAATGGAAGCGACAGCCCGAGTGAATTTGCTCGGTCGCTCGACTTTGACGCACAACTGCCACAATACAATGAAACTGCTCGAGATTCTTCCATAGATTTGGCACCGAACGCGAATCATGGAAATGGAACAGAAGTTGTGCTGCATAATGGCGAAACAGAAGTAGATAAAGAGGAAAAGGGGAAAAGGGAACATGTCTCTGATTTAGTGACCTTGTGGAACAGTAGAACAGAGCTAGAGGTTTTCGAAATTTAATTACCTTTGAGTGAACTGAAATTGTGACTTCGCCGCCGATCAAGTGTTCGTAAACGTGACTTAATCGGGTCCAATGCGCTAACCCTCAAAACTTGACGTATGTATTTTTCATGGGTCAAAGGATCAGAACACTAGCCATGCAGAATAAATTCTCTGATTTATCTCATCCCTGAATTAGCGCCGAAGATCGACCCCTGGAATGATGCAGAAACGTTTATCCGAATGCTTTCAATGTTGTCGGCGGCTTGTTGAGTTTTACAAGAGTTCTGTTATGTACACAAACCATTTTATTGTCTAAACCTCTTCGTGGTTATTATTATGTCAAAGAAAGGATATTTCTACTTTAATTTCAATACGGCTTTTTTACCTTTTTGATCATTTTATATCAGATTTAAATAACTGAAGACCATATTTAAGGAAGGGAGAATCCATAAACAGAAGCGAGGTCCCTTTAAATTTGGAATTTGCTTGATTTGAATAAAAATACATCATTGGCGTGCTTGAGTTATGAACAAGACCTCATTAAACTGCCAAATTAGTTCTACTTTAGACAATTCAAGGAGTGGTCTGTTAGCACAATACCACGTCTTATAAAAACAAAAGTGCTTTCATCATCAACTGATAAAATTTAATGTTTTCAACTCCACTGATTTCCAGGAATGAAAATTGCTTTCGCGTCTTTCGAGTTTTGTGAACACGTTTGACGCGCGTGTCTCGAACGTGAAGCGCGTGTCAGCCAGTACAAATCAGATAATATGCGCTGTCGACGATATAATTCCATCAGTTGCAATGGGAACCAAACCTCTTCGTTAGATATTTGTACTGTCTTCAACCGGCTTCTCTTAAGTTAATTTTTCGGGATTTTGTTCTGCGGACCGGCGAGTGAAAAGCATAGATGATCTGAATGCAAAGAAAACGAATTTGCGGAGTTTTATTTTTCGGATGACAGGTAGTAAAAGCATAGTTAGTAGAGGGGACTGCCAGTCCCCTCTACTAACTATGGTAAAAGTTTTGGGTGTTTTATGTCACTGAGTTATTTTTCTGCGCGATCATCATCATCAGCAAAATCAGCAAACTTATCAAATCCGAAAAGTTACCGTTTCACCGAATGCCTTTGAGCGAAGTAACGGAAATAGTTGATATTAATTGCATATTTAGATCAGAGGCATCGAAGAGAGATAAAGCGGCTCTCGACATCTGCGCTGTTTTAGTATTCGTGATTAAGGGGTTAGTTTCGAAAGATAATTTGGTTTTATCAACTGGGATGATAATGTAAATTGGCCCCCGTGAAGACTTCTAAAGCCGACGTCTCCAATCCTGGTCCTCCGTCATAATGTAATGCCCAAGAGTGGGTCAAGTGATTCTGGAAAAAAAAAAAAAAAAACGATTTTCCTTACAGAGGCCTTCAAAAAGTAGAGGAGAGAGAGCCAGCGAACAGAAGGCGACCGAAGTTTGAGAACAAAATAGGGTGGAGCAAAATTTAATTCGCTAAGTCAATACGTCAGCCGGAATGCGAAAGTAAACAGAGCGCTTAGCGCCTTCCTGGTTAATGAAAATTTGGCGCATTAGGAATTATACCTCTATTTAAACTCGGATATAAACAGAGGTAAAAAACCCTCCCTGTTTCAATAAAGATCTTACTTTCTTATATAGTCAGCTGAGTACCAAAGATCGCGTGCAAAAAGCACGAATAGACAAACAGAAATTTAACGCCTCGTAATCGTTCCGAAGCCATTAGCGTAAAGATAAATGCGGTAATGCTCTTAAATGGTGTGGAGTTACATTATCGGAAGGAGAGAGGGGACAAGAGTTACCAAACGATAATTCACCGCCTGAAGTTAACATAGAAATTCTCCATACCGACTGAGTTCGTTTTCTTGTAAGGTACCTGGGAGAATTTCCCCATAACATCAGGATGATTTATCATACTTGACGCATGAATTTCTGTTCATTGACGTTTGTTATCATTGCATGGCCAGGCAATGATGACGGGGAAGGGGATGAAACCACAACTTTTGGTTTTTATAAACGTGCACTGCCGTTGAAAGGTGAAAGCCGTTAAAAAAGCTTTCAGTAAATCCTCTTAGGGAAAGTATTACGAGATAATAACCCCTTTAACAGTTGCAAATTTGATGTAGTAATGCACTTTGATGACATCGGTTTGTTTCAATTTTAAGCAGGTTTTTGTTCGAACTGTTTAAAGTATATTGATTTTCAGCAAGAGTTTAAGAACAGTATACAATCTTTTGTTTTCAGTGTTACTTTTTCTGTCTTTTAGTATTTTTTTTTTCTCAGTGATTTCCCGGCTACACCTATGCGATGTACTTACATCGGAAAACACAAACTGACTTAAATCGCTATTATTACAAAATACATTACAAAACAAATACGACTTGGAATGTGGTCGAGCAGCTTGTTACAGAGAAGGATTTGTAACAAGATCAGTCATTTCCTTTGCGTTTAGACCTCTAGATTCTGTGTTGACTGACGCTAATGCAGTTGGAAAGTAATTTATTTGTGTTGAAAAAAATATCAATCGGCAAAGATGACTATCGGCAATTTTGAACATTAAATGACTCAAGAGATAATGATTAAAATGCACGATGTACATTTATCTGTCAAAAATGTTAAAATGTGGTCGCTTTCACATCCCACATGACACATTGCACTTCACGCATCACACATCAAATCACATTAGTTACCGTCTAATATTGTATTTCTGTCTCGTCTTTCGGCATACCATTTTATCATTTTTTTTTCTCACAGACTCGTGCCCGCATCGTAACTGTCAAATATTCAGTTCCTATAGACTAGACTGGAGTGCTACATAACTCTTCCCTGTAAATCATCTTCATGATATAGATTCAGTTCACTGCATTTATTTTTGTTCAACGGTGACCAAATCGTTCCTTGCATTTCCCCTCTCTGCATCGTTATTCATGGTTTTTTCTTCGAGTACGACTGCATTTCGCATAGTTTCCTCTACATCATTTGGTTCCAGTGCTCCATTATGAGCACAGGATAACTCTCCCGAGCTACATATCGTCAATCTTTTCTTTCTATAGCTAATACTCTTCAGCTTACACTGATCCGCAGTCTCTCGGCCCAACTCTCTCTCGGATAACCGTTCCGACAATGTTCTTGCAGATGCGCTTGCTCGAGGAATCCTAAAACTCGATCCTAGTCCACCACTGGCGACTGGCGTCCGGCTGCAGTCGGCGCCATTACTTTCCTGACTCCGGTTCTGGCAAATCAGCATCCCGATAAAGGCGTGTCTAAAGCGATGATTCAGTACAGCGTAAATGAAAGGATTGTAAATAATGGCAGATTTTGCAAGAAGCAATGTAACTTCTTGCACTAAAATCGAAACTTTGATTCCGAGCGATACACACAAAGACACGATGACATGAGGGGACCAACACAATAAAAACACAAAAATTACAACAACAATCATTCGAGCAGTTCGCCAATGCGGGAGGGTGAATTTACAGTTCCTTTTACGGCTTTTTTTTAGATGATTGTTTCCCTTTCCACGTTTCCGAACCGATGCAAAAATCGAACAATAACAGTAGACCATGATTGCAAACGGCACCAGAAATAAAAATATCGCCACCACGATGGAATATGTCAACGTCCGTTCCTCACTGTTCTCAAAATTTAAGTAACAGCCAGTGAAGTAAATCTCCTCGTGGAAGCCAATCCAGTCAAAAATGATTGGCAGCGTGAAAACTAGCGTGTACACGTACGTTAACACCACGCAAAATAACGCTCGTTTCACGGTAATTTTCGCGCCAAAAGACGGTTTCGTGATTACCCAGAAGCGGTCGAGCGAGATTATAGCCAGGGTGTTGAAAGACATTGTGTTTAAAAAGTGGTAAACGAAACCAAATGTTTCACACCCAACAGCTCCAAATAGCCAGCGGTGTTTTACAGTGGAAGGGAAAGAAAAAGCCACATTCATCACCGCCAACATCAAGTCGCAGCCAGCAAGATGAACGATAAATAGATTTGTTGTCGTTCGTAGAGTCCTATAGCGACAAAAAGCGATTAAAACCCACAAATTTCCGATAAAACCGACGACTCCCACGATAAAAACGTAAGCACTTATAACAGCAAGATCGTGCTCTCCTAGTTTGTCTGTTCCTTGGGAATCGTTTCCAGCTGTGAAGTTTAGAGACTTTCCCATGGCCAAGCTTCGAGTTCAAAGCGGTAAAAATCCCAATCTGCATTTAAGTGTTTATTTTCGCATCAGAAATTGCTTCTCCTAGCGGAGAAACAAAGAAGAAAACGTCATTACAAAATTTCACAGAAACAACAATACACGAAAGTGTTATATTATCATGGCGACTGTTTAGGCCTCGAGGAAACTCCTTTTCATTCGATCAGGAGAGGAAAATATTGCTTTTTAATGTTATCTAACGTTGCTGAATCACAAGCTTTATCCTCTAGCGAGGGGAAATTGTAGAAGAACAAGGTAGGGCAGACATTGTAAAATAAAGCCGAAGATTACAAAATTTTTTTATACAAAAGTTATTAAAGCAATTGCAATAAAAAAAAAAGGTCTCAGAAAAAGTAAAAATGCAAAGCGCGGCCTGAAATAGTTTCTCTTATCAAAGTTCCTGGTGAGTTTAAGTCAGAGCAATAAATATGTGAAATCAGTCGAACTTCGTAATTCAGAGAGCATAAAATACACCGCAGGGTATAAAATGCTACAAATGTCCTTAAAATTCCCAAAATACATCTATCGAAATCTGTCCAAAATATTTATGATACTAATAACCTCAATAGGCTCTGTTAAAAAAATATTTTCTCCTTAAATACAATTTTTTTTTTCGTATTTTTCTAAGATTTAATAGCTTTGGGTCAAAAGGAAATGAAAAAAAGTTGAACCGCACACGATAAAGTTATTGCTTTACGGTCACTGAAGTGATAAAAATATAAATTTTACAGTGACTTTTGCCACTAATATTGGAAGTTCTCACCTCAGCTGAAAAACCATCATTAATGTTCTCGAAAAGAAAATATCACAGGTCTTTTAGACGGCTGGCAGATAGTTTTGTTGTTAAACATTTCAACCGCTTGGTGCAAAATGTTGAGGCAATTTTTTCCGTTTATGACAACAGCTCACACGCTAAAAAGGGTGTTTTTAACTGCAGGTGCGTTCCGTAATAGTTTTTTTTTTCCCTCATATTTCTGCATCTCAATATTTCACTCCTGCTGGCGTGTAGGAGTCGATCTGTTTGAAAAATGAGGCCCATTGTGTTTGCAGATTCTAACCGAAAGGATTTAAACATGCCGAAATGCAAATTTCTACTTTATCCGCCCAGCTATTGTTTACAGCAAATGTTATTAAATTTGTCGTTCCGACGCAAATCTAAGGCACATTTCAATTTAAATCTTTTAAAAAACGCATTTTAAAAATTTTTTGTCGCAAAGTCGTTTGGTTACACTCGGGCGTGAAGGTCATTCGCCTGTAGCACAGCCGTCTCCCTTTCCCTCCCCCCCTAAGCAAGGGGGAGGCTGTACGCAGGCTAGCACGCAAAAGCTTTGCTTTCCTTCCTGTATCGAAAATAGTCCTTTTACGAAACACACAAAGGATGCTTAGTTTAGAGAATTCGCAAGCGGTTTCCAGAAATTATAACAATTCGTATTTCGCTTAAAATAGATATTTCTTGTGCTAGAATGCTGCAAAGTGAGTAAAACTACATAAAACGTCGGCGATATTTCAATCTTTCCCTGAGTTTAGCGGCAGACTTTATCCAGGGAATAAAGAGCTTATGCTAAGAAACAAAAAACTGCTTCGCTTCTAACTTATGTAGCTTCGCAACTCCGTTGGTAGTAACGTTTTTGAATATCCGAGGAAGGGCGAAAGTTTCAAAGTTGTTTAAGCCTGAATTCTGCCTTTTCGGACTATTACGTCTTTCACGACAGGTAACGTGTGAATAATATTTTTCTTAATTGCCATTCGTAATCAAATTCCTAATCAACGAATAGAGACCCAACGATAAAGTTTGCTTCGCTCTCAACATGCATCTTCGTGGCTCAGTAAGTGATAGTGCTTAACTAACATAGGGGAGGCATAGCGTCTAAGCCCGACAAGGCATAAATGTTTTCCTTCACAATATTTTGCTTGCAATAAATTGCAGTTGCTCTAATGCAGTTGACCTGTGGATCGAGATCAATTCGTCACTGATCATTTCCAAGTCGAACATAAATTATTATGATTCATGATATATTATTTCAGAACGTTGAATTAAAAAGATGAAGTCAGTTAACAAATCTACTAAATTGGCATAAATTTCAAAATGTCTTGATGGTAATTCGTCGAAAGTGTCTTAAATATTACTCAGGGAGAATATGATCGACAAACTGCTGGTATATCCGTTTATACTTTTTTTATTTAGTGTGACACCTACTAAATCAAGTTAGAATCATTAACTACCAATACTGTTATTATCATTATTATTTTACCTTTTTTTTTTCAATCACAAAACCAAAAAGATAAATTTACTGTTGAACGCCCCAGTTCCGGATAGAAGATAGAGAGGCAAACAATTAACGACAAATAAAATATTAATGGTAAAATTTTTCACACCTTCTGTATAGGAAATGGCAAAATTGCTTGACGAAGATAATTTTTGGCTTCAAAAGATATTCAGCTCCAAGTTTAATGCCGGAACTGCACCAAATTATACAGAGAAATGTTTTTTCTCTTTTTTTTTTCGGTCAGCATTTCGGTTTTACCTCCTGAATGGAGAAACATAATGGTTTCCCTATGCTTCTGACAAGGAACAATCAAGAGCGTCTTTACTTGGTGATCATTTTCTTTATTCTCATGACATTATTGTGTGATTCAGGGGTGATATTGTAAGGAGAAATTAGATACTGGTCACTCTTAGTGTCAAGGGATTAAGTCTAATCCTTTTATCTGCGGCGTCTTCGGCCGTTTTTTCATTTATCATACAGTAACAGAAAATGAAAATTTCAGTAATTGACTCACACGCGTACTGTCTAAAAGTCAGTCGGTTCTAGTTGATAAGTTTTTCATGGTACGAGACAAATGATTTAATTACGCCATTCATTGCAAGCGAGCAGCTCCAGACGAGTTCTGACCCCATTTTGCTGAAATATTTGGTGATTGAAAGTAAAATTCAAAACAAGATGGGACTCGCCGGGGACGGTAAACATTTTTTTGATCCAGGATCGGTCTTGAAATTAAAAGTGCACTCAATTCAGAAGATCAGTGCCATGATCTTCATCGTGGCTTATCTTTCGATAAACGGAAGTCACTGAAATTTGTGACCTTAAATATCGTTCAAATTTCTTTTCTTGTCTTACCAAGGTTTGCCTCTCTTTCCACCTCTTGTATGATTTTAATAAATTTCATGTTGTCGCTTTAAGTCGATCGGCCAAAATAAAAGTACATCGTAGAGCACATGGGCTAAGAACATCTAACAGTTTAGTTACGGAGAACAATCGTTTTATAATTATGACTTATGAAAGATATTTACACATAAAAGATTACCGACCGTATTTACCTAGGGGGACACAGAACTCGTTCTTCACGAAAATTGCGTTGGACTTTTTAAAATGTATTTAAAGAAAAATCCAAAACAAACTTTAAAATGTCATTAACTGCAAACACAGCCTTCGTTTGTCCAGCAGTTTGAAAATAATCTCTTATTTTGGGGGAATTTTATTCTTAAGTAGAAGTGATAGCAAGAAAATTCACGCACAAGCACAGAGAACCATAGTTAACAGATGCTGAGAATGATCGAAAGCGAGTTCATGATCAGTCAAATCTCACTAACACCTGCGATAAGTTTTGTATCAAAAACGTGTTTTCAATATTATGAATCAGATAACAGCGCCTAAATGGACCCGCTGTTAGCAGGCAATGCGTGGTCTAAATAGCATTTAGTGAGCGAAAATCGGCCATTAACTCATCAAGGAAGATTTTCCGTCATTTTCATTTTCAACAGATCACAAACAGTTGTAATTTTTATGCAAATTTTTCATTACATAGGCCGGCTTGTTTTGGATGCATTTACCGTCCCGACGAATTTCACACGCTTTTAGAAAGGAATACTTCAAGGTAGATTCTCTATTCGATTTTCCCCCTGTTTGATAAAAACTGTGTGAAGTCGTAACAGTTCTGTGTTCAGGCAAACGGCTAGGGTTACGGCTGTACGTTGGATAATGTTCCAAAGTTTCGTATACAAAAGTCAATTTACAAATTTGTTTTCAAAGAACTTGGGGTCAGAACGTGTCATTCTGCATCCTGAATTTTGTATTGTTTTTTGTTTTTTTTTTTATCTTTTCACGGTATGATCTGCAATGGTTTACAGCATTCATGAAAAAAAGAGGTTTCTGAAGTTTTCATCGGGAAACCATCAAACTTAGTTGAACTTATTTACCTGAAGTGTACTCATGAAGTGGTCACTGCATTGGATAGACGAACAGCGCTCTTTGTCCGGTGCCTTACGGGAAAGAAAGATGAAATGAAAAGAAAAACAACAAAAGTAACGTATATGAACTAAGACCGATTTCAAAGAAAATCCATTAGAATTTTCCGAGGTAAAGCGATAGGAGAACTCTTTGTGCGATCTGATCCTGATTGGCCAGTAAATACATTAGAATATTCACTCACCTATTCATGTCTGGAGATAATCAAATGCTCGCGAGTTGTCATATTTTCAACGCTGTGTTTATCGGCGGAAATCGGTAGATATAAGCTCCTTTTGGCCTACCTATTCGATGGTTTTGATATATGCTGTAACCATTATTCGCCTCGCTGTCGACAGCGGATATGTTAGACTGATAAAATGTGCTTCAAGACCACATGGATGAATAAATAATTACAGCTGAGTCCGGTCTTCCTTTGACGAAATCGTAAGCCATAGATTTGCTCAAAGACGCAAAAAGCAGTAGATTAAAGTGTGACATTGAATTAAGTTACCCAGAATAGTGTTCAAATGGTAAATTTAACATCAAATTTAACGATTCAGTGAAAAGATCTTAGAATATTTCACCGACTGATGGTTGAAGTATCTCAGAATATAAACTGAATCTACATTGTAACGCGATCGACAAAGTTGAATATTTTCTATTATTTGGGCGTAGTTATTCTGGTGACAAAACAAGACCGCCTTGAAAAACCAATAAAGAGTTTACATTATGAACAGACCTACCGATGAGTTTCTGAGACTCCAGGGAAGTTGATTTGCCTTCAAAACCACATCAAAGTCGAAAGAAAACTTCTTAATGTCGAGCTTGTCGACAGTTTTGTGTCAAACTGGTTATTTCGTTTCAAATTTTTTCTTTGTCACAGTAAATCAGTTTTACCACTTATCTCCTATTCTAGTACGTAGAAGAGCTTGCGTCATTCCTGGCAGATGCCTTCTTTAGACTTAATCAATTACCGCATCAACTGATATCTTTTTAATATTTTCGGCAAAGCTATCATCGATGCTGACAGCAGATGAACGCGTTTACAAGACTTTTTTACCTCCTGTTGATATATTTTCTATCGGCGGTTTTCTCTGCATGATGGCAAACAAAAAAAAAATTAATTCTTGGTTAATTTTTGATTGAGACTGAATTAACTCATCAAAGTTTTTAGCACCTGCATTCCGTCTGCTGTGAAAAACAGTTGATGGTTTAGACGAGAAAACCTGGTGACTAAATTCCAACTAATTATATTTCATATATTATTGTTTCCCGCTTCACAGGCATGCCACCAGGATGGCCGAGTGGTTAAGGCGTTGGACTTAAGATCCAATGGACGTATTGTCCGCGTGGGTTCAAACCCCACTCCTGGTATAAGTCAAGGTATCTTTTTCTTTCCCTCCTTTCTATATCATGTTGTTTTTCTTTTTCGTACGACTTTGAACAGAGTAAATTCATTGAAAAGTGATATTCTGTATTACGGATCATACGAAATCATAATGAAGTTTTTTGTTTGTCGCTAAATACTCTCTTCTTATGGAAATCTAAGGTGCTCACGGGCGCAAATGAAGGTTATTTAAACGAATACAAGACCTCATACACCAACTTATCTGCAACTGGAAAATAGAACTGGCGAAGGCCGTTTACGAGCATATCCTCTCCTTTGGTTGGATATGCCACAGTCACGTTTGAACGCGTGGCTTCCTCCTCGGTTCGATTATGCTTTTATTGTTGCGTTAAAGCGGGCGTCGGTGCTTAACGGCTACCAACTGCCACGAGTTTCCAAAGATTATGCCTCCGAAATCTCTGGATGGCGATTCCGCGCAAGCCCCTAAGGTCTCACGTGCCAGTGATGGCAAAGGCCCTTTTATCATATAATGTTATAATATTATTTAAGATAGAATGGGTCACTGCCTTAATTATGGGATTATACCTCTAACTGCGCATGTGTAGCGTTAATGAATATTGATTTTCAGGATAATACTTTGTGCCTGTCCTCAAACTTCTACTGCGAGATAGGACCGTATCGCGTACTAGTATCCAACGGCCATATGCACTGGCTTCTTATCCCAAAAAATCAGGCCTTGGAATAAAATAAAGAATTTCAACAAGCCAACTCCATGAGCCTCTTTGACTAGACTAGACCAAGTAATTGACAAATGGTCTCAAGAAGTATTAAAAGAATGCCAAGAACTTTGTGATGCGTTTTTGCCCAATCGAGCCGTTATAAAATGCCTTTCGAAATACGATCCATCTACGAGTGTTCTTTTTTTTTGTCTTAAATCTTGTCTGGCCAGCGTATCAATAATTCGATTATTTGCTCACTCAAATAGATTGAGGTTTTTTTTTTTTTTTTTCAAATGCATTACAATCAATATAATATTGTGTGAGTCAAACGGTCTATTTTGTATGGTTAAACATTTAACTGTGTATTAAAGGTACTAAACAAACCAATCATCAGCGTTCTTTTTTCCGTTTGTTGATGGATTGGTTTTCCATATTTTTTTCCGACTGCGGTTTGGCAGAAATACTCAAAGCCAAGAGATTATATATTGATCCCTTGTCGTGGTTCAGAGACAACAAAAAATCACCTTAAACAAACGAGTGCTCTTCCAAGTTACTCGAGAAATCAGCTGACTAGTTGTTGAACAATATGCTACTAATTTCAACTTTCTACCCTCAACGTTAACATTTTTTTTTCTGTTAGCTTCTCGTGGGTTGCATAGCAACGCACGTGCGTTTGGAATTTGAGGATGTTTCTGGGAGTCCCAATCTTCGCCTGCCGTGGGAAATGCATGGAATACATGATTAAAGTTAGATCGATCAAGCACTTAACATGTTAAGTGACACATCCTCTGAAGCGGTCAAAAGGGGCTAAAGTATAACTTGATTACGCCATATTAAGCTTCTTAACCTGACGCCTTTCCGTCTCACGGCGGAAAGAAGCACTTAAAAAAAGGAGGAGTTTCTCATTAACATCAGCGCAGACCCTCGCAATAACCAAGCTGAACCCCATGAGGAAAAAATCAAAAACAGAACGAACGTTTCCGTGAAGTACATAAAACTGAGCGACACAAAATATTCACTTGCAAAATTTTAATTTAACTGAAACGGGTTTGAGATGATTGTGTTCTCCATATAAAATCTGGAACTCTATCACTATTATATTAACGTGTGTATGAATTCAGCGATGCAATATTATGTGATAAAATTAATGTAAAAAGATTTCAGTGTACAAGTTCCTCATTCTCGCCAGAAAAGCGAGAAGTGTGTGTACACTGCGCGAGGAACGTGAAATGTGCACGTTACGTTCACTTGCCATTCCTCTGTTCTACTCGGCACTTTATTCGATACATACTGTTCTCTGTCGGTGAAACAATGAAATTTGAAGGGATTAAAAACCCAACAAATAATTATTTGTAAAAAAAATCTAATTCTTCTTTAAGGTAAAACTTCTTTAAAAAATGATCGACAATCTGAACTTTGGAAAACAAAACATAACATTTCAACTGGAGGAAATGAATGATTTGCCAACATTAAAACTTTTCTTTTCTTTTCTTTTTGACATAGGCATAGCGCATATCACCTCTTTAAACTCAAGGCAAAAAACATCTCCCCAACGAGATAAACTGGTAAGCGCTATTACAAATTAAATAGGGTGGCCTCCTTGTCTCTTGTCAATAAATAGTTGATAACAGTCTAAAATCTAATCAAGAAAAAACATTTTCAGAAACGTTAAGCAACGACGTTCACGGCAAACGGCAAAAATTGAACTTATTTACGTCCACTTTTGCGTTGGAGCGTTAAAGCGAATTTAACTGCACCACCTTGAGCAGGAGATTTTTCGGCTTTATTTTTCTCCGGGGTTTATTTAAGAACATTGAAAAGATGAGTAAAATCCGATTTCAGTTTTGCCGTTTCCGTAAAGAACACGCTTCAACTTGCTTCGCCCAGCTAAAAAACTGTGAGTTTCTGTCAATTTGACTCCCTTTCCTAGCAGTCACTTATAATCCCTTGTTAAGCAATACCTCAAGGAATACTATCATGTTGAAAACGTTGTTAAGCTCAAATCGCAAAAAGAATAATAACGTTCAGCTCTCAGCCCCAAAATTGGACGTTCTTGACGTGTTCACTTTGAAAAAATTATATTCATTCAAGATGATTTGTAGAGATTTGCATTTCGTTAAGTAATGCGCTGCCTCGAAGAACGAAATTTCTTTAAAAAAAAAAAAAAGAGTCATTGCCATGATTTTCTGGATTATACGTCCAAAAAATGACTTGTGAAATTTTAATTTAAGCCGAAGATTAATAAACGATTAATTTCAAACCCTGGCAAGATTCAGGTGAAAAAGTCAGGTTGCTTCAGGAAAGAGAGGCAAAAAAGACCGTGCGGAGTTGAAGCTTCATAAACAAATTTATGAAAAGACAATTTAAAAGCACTGACGACAAGATGCACCGCCAAGTTGCCATAAAAGTAACCCTTTTAGATCTCAACAAAACAATCACTTTTCTATGCAAATGTCTCGTAATGGACGCCAAAAATCGGCGCAACGTTGAAATTTAAGTAACCCTTTTAAATCTCAGCATTAGAATTACTTTCTTCATAAATGTGTCAGCCTAAAAATATATTATTTAATCAAATTGCCAATTTTTCCCCCAAACTATCGAAATTGAGCGCGATTCCACGCGATACATCGCGCGCGTCCCGTGCTACGACACCAGTGATATCGCGCTCTTTCGCGAGACGCGATACTAAGTGGAACTAAAACCACGAATCAAACCATTTCCATCTCTCTCGTCACTTCATCCAAATCGATATCGTCTAGGCACAGACTCATGCGCTTCCAAAAATTCTGTATTTCCATCAATTCTTGTGCGGAAGTTTGAAGTGGATCCTTGTTAGATATGTGGTCCCTTCTCCCATAACTTACGTGACTTTTCATTCGCGATGGCAACGTATTTTTCCCGTTTTTTCTACGATTTCCAGATCGTAATTTCTTAGTTTTGTGTAAATTGCTCACCGACCGTTGCGCAAAAGATCCCTCGCGCGAAGTCCTCGAGAGATCGCTCTCTTGATCGGTGCATGTACTCGCACGTGGAATAGTCGAACCGGGTGATTCCCTCTTTGTCACTCGCTGTGCGCTCGCAGGTCGTGTACCTTTCTTGTACATCTGTGATGGTGAAGAAAGATTTTGCGATCGTGAATTCGTAGACGAGGAATAAAGGTGATGGACTCGTTGAACATTCAACCCAACTTTTTCTCGTGGCAAAGTACACAAAGGTGTTTCACTTGTTGCGTACGTAGAATGTTGGGTTCTTTCAACTGGTAATGTACCATAGCAAGGCGATGTTACATCTGTCGCGTTCAAAGGTGTGCTTTTTTCGCTTGTACCCTGTTGCGAATTATTCTGATCAGATACTCCATCAGGTGAAGAAATCAATGATCCATTACTCATACGATTTCCATCCGAAGATCGCTCTACTTTTGAGACTTTTTTTCGTCTCACATAAAAATCTTCTACATGATAAAAAGGACCACCATTGACCTCTGCTGGTGTAGTGCCTCTCCCGTTTATAACCTCTTCCAATTCCTCTTTACTGGGCCCAATCACTGTGTCTCTTCTTTGGCCATCTTTAAACTCTACGCTTTTAACAACACCGTTCTTAACCTTTGGAATGAAAGGCGGAGAAAGATGGTCAGAAAATTCCTCGAGTATCTTCTCGTTTGACCGTTGCAGTGTCAAAGCACTCAGTCTATTCCTTTGGGTTCCAGCGACTTGGGAAGGTACCTCAGTTTCGCTTAAAATGCGACTGATTCTATTTCTGTTCGCGTTGTTTCCGGAGCTCGGCGATCCGATTAGCGAAAAGCTTTGCCTCCCACAACATACTGCATCCAAAATCACAGCTTTAAGTTTGCGGTTTAACATCACGTAGATAAGCACATTGTAGATCACGCACGACTTAGCAACCAGAACTGTAATGTGTGACACGAGAGGATCAATGTAGCCATTCGAAGCTTTGATGAATGAGACGACAACATAGGGTACCCACACGATCATGGAGAAAAATATAACAACTATGATCATTTTCGCAGTCTGTATGTGTGTTCTCTTTAAGACAGGATACCGCTTCTTGACAGAATTCGGCGTCCCAAGCGATCTTCCTATTGTACGCTGCGTGCTTCGGCGAACGGCGACAAAAATGCGTGCGTAGCAAAAGATCATCACTGAAAGGGGCACGAGAAAAAGAAAGAAAGGTGCGATGACTGAATAGACTATAGATGAGGTTCTTTGATCGCCATAGTTTATGTAACAGCCACTGTAAAAAACTTTTTCCTCCACAAATGAATTCCATCCGACACAAGGAGGAAATGTAAACAGAAGGGTATACAGGTAGATTATCAGTAAGATTCCAATCGCCTTTCGTTTCGTAATTACTTGAACTGCTCGTGTCTGGCTCGGCCGTGTGATAAAAAAGAACCGATCCACAGAGATCACCGCCAGTGTTGAAACGGTACAACAGATGAAGAAGTAGTAGAAAAATCCATACGCAACACAACAGGCGCGACCAAACAACCATCTTCCATATAACGTGGACGCAATTGAAAAAGTATTGTCAAAGATGGAAAGCATCACATCACAGAATGCCAAGTTCAGAATAAACAAATTAGCGGCTGTTCTGAGCTTTGGATATTTCCAAAATACAAAAATCACAAGACAGTTTGCAATAATCCCGCAAACTCCAACGGCGCACAGATAAATAACGGATGCGAGTCTCGCAGTCCCATACTTGTCTTCGAACGAAGAGCCGTTGACAAACAGTCCATCATTAATTGAGCTCATAGTTTGTTTGCTGGCGAATTTAAGGTTCCTTGGTCGTAAAAATGCATTGATGAGTCCTCATTTAGGTCTCCTCTTCAGAAGTCAATTTCCACGTAGTAAAGACATTTATAACCCAATCTTTTCATTTCATTTAACGCACGGAACCCTCGAGTTATGGAAATTGGATCGAACATTCGACCAGTATCCCGTGGGTTCTAATGGATACCAATGTTGACCAATCGCATTGAGGTGTTTAAACAGTTCTTTGACGCTATTACCATAAGATACAATTGTTGATTATACAAAGCCTTTGTAAACCTCGCGCTATTGTTTACAAGTTTGTTGTTTGCTAGCGGTTTACTCGATCGAATGTATTTCGCCGGACCGCTGCAAATGGCTCTGAGGAGAACTTATTGCACAGGGGCTGCCAAATATTCCATCCAAATTCGATTAGCAGATTACGAGAGACTCTCAAGAAAAGTTAGAAAAAAAAAATGTTTATCTCTTACAAACTGTGTCAACTTAATCTCTCAGGGCATATATATGCAAATAATAGCTGTCATCAAAAACATTTTATAGCCGTATCATTGTTCCAGTGACGTACTTAACCGAAAGGGATACGACATTCTTACGCCCATTCGCCGCCTGAGTTTATATTTGGCTTGAGAAAATTGGAAACGAATGTAAATATTCAAGTGGTGGTTGAAAATTCAAGAGCGTAGAACAAATGGAAGCGTTTTACATTGTCGGTCGGGTTAGATTTCGTCTACGAGCTAATCGACGAATGATTTTAGACACAAAATGTCGCCGGGTAGGATTCATAAAACGGCCCAGATTCTAAATTTTATTATTTGCGGAAGATCAGCATATGATTATAACGGTATTAGAAGGTCAAATGTTAGGAGATAAATATAGTGTTTACATACCATTCATTGACCGCGACGAAAGATTTTGGTATATCGATAACGTGTTTTGCACTTGTTCGCATGTATAGACAACATAAACCTATTGAAATGTACGTTTTGTTTTTCGTTTTTGTCGAGTTTATAGTTTTGTTTTTCTTTTATTGTTTTCATTCTTTTTCTGAAGGAGATTAAGTCAATTTGATTGTGCGCACAAAAAAATTTTGTTTTAAAAATAAAGTCAAGTACTATTCCAATTTGTTTTATTTTTGGTCATGTACTTCAAATTAACACTGTTTTATTTTAATTTCCTGATACTGTTTTCTTACTATCAAGTTTTTTTCTAAAATATCAATCGCAGATATTGGTTCAGTCACGAATTTTACCGCGCTAAAATCAATTTTAGACGGAACTGAACTTCGAGCTATCGATTAAAACTAGTCGAACAATGTAGAATGACTTAGCGTGGAATAAAGACAGATCGCAGCAGCAGTGCTTGCTAGAACACGTCGTTTCATACCCGAACTTGGTTGGAAGCTATGAACAAAACACGTGGATTTATATTGTTCAAACCTCTTTTACTAATTATGTATACTTGTGGTGTCAAAATGACGCTTGAATATTTTATCAACTAAGTATTGTTTTCATCTTTGCATAGTAGCCCAGAACCTTACAATGAGGGAAAGACCTGCTTGTTCTGTGTCTAGTGGAATCGACAGTTCCGCCAGTTCGTGGACACTGGTGGATATGTTATTTCTCAGCAACTTCGGCGGAAACCGGGAGTAAAACAAACAAGAAACAGGAGACAAAAAAATTCCCCAAAATAGAATTAACCTCTTGTTTTTCGCAGACCGGCTGGCTGACTGTGGGGTCGTGACAAATCATTTTGCAATGTCGACCTCCTTTCATTCCATTTCCCGAGCTGCGATTCTCTGACAGTGTTAGGGAGGGGTTTTTCAATAAAGCCAGTCCTTCCGTTCTCTATAAACCAGTGGCGGATCGAGGGGGGGGGTCCGGAGGATCCGGACCCCCCCCTATAACAGACCTGACGCTTACAACTTTGAAATTGAAATTCTTACATCGACAGGATCGTATATCACTTTTTAACTGGCTGATCTTTTTAATGAATCCAAGTAAACGGTAAGCGACCAAGGAACTACAACGTGCAACCGCGACTGGTGGGAGGGGGTGTGGGGGAGAAGTGGTTTGCCTCTAAATAGTCCAACAGTCCTTTCTGAACCAAAGTTTGGACCCCCCCCCAATCAAAAATTATTGGATCCGCCCCTGTAAACTTTTATGGCCACCTGTTGAGCCTTCAAGCTTTGAACTTTCGTATTCTGGGTTTCGTCTCATGGTCCCCTTCTCCGGGCACAGCTACCGTTACTCCATCGGTAACCACTTATGGAAAAAGTTTTAAATATATATTGAAACCCATGTTGGTAGACTGATCGCACATCCTCAACTCTGTCAATTCTTAGATACCGCCGCCAGATCTTACTGCTTTTTGTTTACCGCCTTGTTCACTATCTTTCCAGAAATGTCTCAGCATGTTCTGATGCACAAGCAAATCTCTTTTTTACTTTAGATTAAGCCAAACATACACAACTTACCAGAAGAGTTTCTGCTCGGTTCAATATTCTAAATTGCGTGCGTGATTATCGTGTCATTGCGCGCGAGACTTTCTCGAGGGGGTGCGTTAATTAATTAAATGAACTGCCTGTTGGCCTCCTCAATATTGAACTGTTTTGAACAGACAGCGTTTGTTTTCATCTTCCGATCTCAGACAAGAGATCAGACATGTACGTGCTGTAAATTCTTAATTTCGTCTGACTTTCTAGTTGGACTAATTTTCCCGCGAGTTACTAAAAATTCACGCGCTATCGCGTTCCGCGCGCGATACCCGTTCCCAGGGATTGGCGCTACATGAAATAATCGTTTTTTCTCATTATCTGAGAGTAGACGTCGTTTGATGTTTTCCTTTATCTTTTGACCACAGGCGAGAGATTAGACAAGTATTAAAAATTGTTGTTTTTTTATGAACTTATCTGGGTTTCAACCCTCTAAAAGGTTTATGTTCTCAAGTCTAATTCCAAATAATCTAGTTATAAATTCTTTTTTTTTCTTTTTTAATAGGATTGCACAATTACTGGTGAACCAGTAGTTTCCCTTGTGGTCCTTGCAAACAAATGAAACAAATGGTCTAAATTGAACATAACATCATTAAGATCATTAAGAACCCCAAGTGGCCGGAGGCAAACCAGTTGGCTATTTACAAGCGTGGCCAAGGATCTGAACTCGGGGCTACTATGAAACAAATCCAGTGGTGGGGTGGGACTCGAACCCGGGACCGGCGGATTACGAGTCTGACACTCTAACCACTCAGTCACACTGCCTCCTTGTTTTTCCTCTCCCTTCATTTTTTTTTTTTTTTTTTTCAAAGAATACTTTTGAAGGTTTTAATTAATGAGCAAAATCTAATTCAATTAGGATGACATTGTAAACTAGCTCCAAGAGTAGAGTTCAAATGGGTGAAAAAAATATACAGCTAAAGAAAAAAAAATATTTCAAGGTTCACAGATCATTGTCTTTGAAGCTGAGCCAATGAGATTTCCAGATGTCCCCTAAGTCTATTCAAATTCTTAAGTAACAAACATCACAGAAAATTGGGTTAATCCCAGATTAATTGTTGCAGCCTCTGATGCAATTCTTGAGAGAGTTGTTTCAGTAAGGATTTATGTCTTTGTTTTGATGCTTAGTAAAAGGTATGACATAGCAATGATTTATGGTGAGTTTACATGAGGTGAAGTGGTTTAACAAAATATAAGCTTGTTTCAAGTGCTCAGTTTGTGAGGCGAGCTAGCGCGGGGGTGAAAGAGCTAGTAAACATCAAACTGTGGTTAAACAACTGCCCGACTCCTGCCACTTTTCATACATGTTCTTCACTGCTTGTTTCTATTGACTGAGAGCATGGAACAGGACTTACAAAACTTTAAACAAAAATGAGAGTGGAAAGGAGAGCAACCTCATTCCAGGGTTTTTCCCTTTGAAAAAGCAAAATGCCCTTGGGAACAAGGTCATAACGAGGAGAGAGAATTTCATTCGCATGCTTTCTTACTTGTCTTTGCAAACCAAAATCCTGGCACAGGCTAAACAGACTAGGGAAGCCTGCAAACAAAACTCAGCTGAATCCAAAGGCATTTCAGATTGTAAAATTATATAAAAACTGCCATGATTCTTGGTAATGGGGGAGAGGTTACATGAACCCTATGACCACCCCCCTTGGTACACTTCATCCCTCTGATGTAGTTTGAGCAGTGTGAAAAAACATGAATGTGCAGAATCTCACAACTGAGGGGCATACCCAAGGCCCTACAGTGGAAAAGTGTCTGACTTACTTTAATATACAGACAAAATATGTGAAAAATATCATGTAAGGGATTTAAGTCTAGTTTTGTAGTTACGAGTCATAAGCACTAAGTATACTTGTTCAGGCGATTAAAGAAATTCTCCAGTTCTGATTTGCAGACAGTGAAGGCCTGCATAGTTTATGCATACAAAGAATCTCTTGATAGGTAAAAGCTGATAAAAATACAATATTGTCAATATTTTACAACAAACACGCCATTTAAGTTTACGTACCATTTAAAAAAATACTGTCTAAAATGTTCTAAAAACGTCATTTGCTCATGACATATCTTACAAGGATGAGTTTTCTTCGAATTCCCCGTAAACCGTGAGTCAGCCATCTAGAAGGTCCCACAAGGCGTTGACAATATCGTATTTGGTTTTCCCACTTTTACTAAAACAAAATGGTTTAACATCATTTAGGTTCGCGATAAATCCTTTCACTTGGTCATCTTCGCATTCATAATCCCATCTGATATGACTCACGTTTGTATACAGGCTGAAATTGTACTTCGTTTGCGGGAGAACTTCCACTCGATCGGTTTTCACCTCTACGGCCTTCTCATTCCATTCCTTCATTTCTGCCTCTTTTTCAGTAATGTTCTTCTCGAAGACTTTGACGTCGGCCTCCAGTTTTTCGATGTGCTTTACGGTGGTATCTTTTTCAACTTGCAGCTTCTCTATCTTAGGGAGTTTTTCGTCAACTCTCAAAGCTTTTTCCTCTACTTCTTTCTCTGCTAACAATTTACTCAAGGCCCGCAAAGTCGACTTCACACTTTCTTGCTGAACCGATCGTTCTTCATCGATGTCGTTATAGGTTTTCGCTACTTTTTCCAGAGTTTCTTCGTCTTCTGCGCTGGAAAGAACTGTAATTACTTCATTAGGAGTTTCCACAGCCTCTTTGAATGACATGGTGACTGAAACTTCGAAGGACTAGATCACAAATTCGTTTCTCAAACTGTAAGCAAGACTGTAATTTTGAAAATGGCGGCTTGAATTCAAATTGGTCTCCGATCATTACCGTGCCTAAGTAGCACCCAGACCTCTTTCATCATTCAGTATGGCGGACACTCTGGCTTCTGTTTATGACGGTGCAAAACTTTTACAAAGTAGTGGATGCTACAGTGATGCTTTGAAAGAGTTAGATAAACTAATAGAGCTTTCTAAGAAATGCAAGGAACAATGAGAATCACTAAATCATTTGCTATCTTGTGCATGGAACGATAGAGGACATTTAAAGTACTTGAAAGTTGATTTCGATGCTGCAATTTCTGATTACACTCAAGCTATAGAACTTGATAAGAACTTTGCGGTACCTTACTACAACAGAGGGCAGATTCATTACAGAATGGGTGGGTACAAGCCGCTCCAGAAATCACAGAATGCTTTTCCTTTACTAAATTTTTTTGATTAACCTCCATGTAAACTTCCATGAGTGACCGAGAGAGAATTTCTCCATACACGACCATGCAATATCAATTCAAAATCAACCAGTTAAGTACCGAGAATGAAAAAAAATAGGCGGAGGCGGCGTGGCCGGGTGGTTAGGGTGCTGGACTTATAATCCGCTATCCCAGGTTCAAGTCCCTGCCACTCACTGGATTTGTTCCCAGTTACCCCTAGTTCAACTCCTCGGCTGCGCTATGTAAATACCCCAGTGGTCTGCCTCCTGCCAGTGGGGATTTTTAAGCACTTAATTAGTTTACATTGTGGCTGGAAAGCCCCTAAGGGGGAGCTTCAATTTACGTATTTATTTCTTTATTTAATTCAAGGATTACTAGTGGATCGAATATCAAATTCTCTGAACTAACATCATAACAATTGTATGGCAGACAGTAAGGAGAATTAATAATGAGTTTTTGGGAGTAAAAGGGTTAAAAAATTCCCAAACCAGTTATTTGCCTCTTGCTTTTTCATTGTATTTCTTATTCTGTTTGTCTGTTCATTTGATTGTTTTTGTTTTGTATATATGTGGAATATTAAAAAATAATAATCATAATAATTTTCCAGGTTGCTCCTTAGCCTTTGGTATTTTTATTTCCCCATATTTTGTATGATTTTGACTTGGTTGATCTTTTTTCTTATGTCTTCAAAACTACAGGACGTTACGAGGAGGCAGTCAAAGACCTCAGGCAAGCCCTCAGAATTGACCCAAAATTTCAAGATGCAAGGCAAAACCTAAAACAAGCCATTGAAGATTGGAATCTTAGTGGGAAAGGAAATATTATTTGTGGAGACAGCAAAAGATAGATGTGTTGTGCACAGTCTCAAAAAATGTATTTCAAGTTATGGCTCAAAGCCTCCTTGACACACACAGTCTTATATCTTTCTTTGAATCTCTGTTGATAAAAGCAAATCATTAAGTTTTAGTTCAAAAGAATCATTTAATTAAAAGAAGAACCAGTAGTTATGATGTGAATGGAGATACAGTGATTTTTAGTCTAGCTGCAAAAATGTTTCATTGTAGGGTACCTTTCTTTATGTTAACTTAATAAATGTAGCTTTCAAAGCTGCTGGTGTGGGTTTACCGCCACCCAGTTAGCCCAATGGATAGTGCGCTG